TCTATAGAGTCTAACGGCCAGTGGTTCCCAAAGTGGGCGATATCGCCCCCCTGGGGGCGGTAGAAGGATCTTTGGGGGCCTCTGGAAAGATCTGTGTTTAACCATTCTCTTTCAAAATTGCAGCATACTAAATATCAAGGAAGAGGCGTTTGTTTTTATATGTGTCTGTCACCGGGGGGCGCTAGAGATTCACTGGGGAGCCCAGGGGGACGCCAGCCTGAAAAAGTTTGGGAACCACTGCCGGAGTCTAACCCATGAGAGCGACGCGGAGTTGTCACGCCAACGATCTTGACGATGCTAGATGAGCGTCTCTTACACCGTGTTGTGATATATGCTTCTAAACTGGACCTCTAACGTGAGCCGTGTTGTGTTTTACTGCTTCTAAATTGGGCCTCAGCCGCGGGAACAAAGCTCAGTTGCGTCATTCAGAACATTTTCAAAAGCATTACCGATTTTGAAAAACAATTATACGTTCAGAATTGCGTACGTAGTCTTCGCATGAATTTGGCTGATTGCACGTAATGCTAGAGAAGATCACATCGATTATACTTCTCACTCATGAATATAGATATTTATTATTTACAATATGATTATCCATTGTCAACGAATTGTATTAACTGAAGTGCCGAAGTTGTATTCCAACATCCGTGGTCCAGACAAATATATTTCCTCGTCATGTGCGAAGAATTCTAACAGAATAGAATACATGTAGAAGTGTCGGCACTGAAGAAATAGGCCCATGGCCTGTTGCCGATTCTTGAACTTTTCGTGACTTGATTCACAAGGGATCCGGCCTTTGGAACCCGATCTTTCCATAACTGACGAGTGATTGAGATAGCTGCTGGACCTATTGCCTGCTCCGTAATTTGCTAGGCATTTTAAGACTGAACATATGCTCCTGCATAGCTTCGTCTAGTCTGTTCTTGAAGATGTTCATACTCGGAGCTTCAACGATGCTATCAGGGAGGCTGTTCCACATGTCGGTGACTCGAAGCGAGAAGAAATGTTGTCGCATGGATGTGTTCCTGTCTCTTATACACATCTAGATGTGTATAAGAGACAGGCTTTATCTAGTCTGTTCTTGAACGCGTTCATACTTGGAGCGCCAACGATGTCATCGGGGAGGCTGTTCCACATGTCGGTGATTCGAAGCGAGAAGAAATTTGGTCGCGTGGAGAAGTTGCAGCGCAATTTTTTTAGCGCCGTTTGAAGAACGCCGTTTGATGATTATAATTCACGTAAGACAATTTGCATGCGGGTATAGGAGTCCCTCAAACATGATCAAATTTCAGATGGATTATAAGACCAATTATTCTGAGTCAAGAACAACTCGGTTTATTGCTTCGAGGAATATTTTACTGAGAATAGCGCTGGTGGGTAAAACTGTGGACATAGTCCGTCTTGACATTAGGGCCGGATTACTTAAAAAATGCTCATCTCGATCTCAACGTTGAAATATTTATTACTATAATATGTAGAATTTCCTGGTAAAATATGGCAGTTAGTACTAAAGTAAATAAAGTAAGTAAAGTTAGTAAAGTACTAGCAACTAAATTTATCACGAGTGACTATTCTCTAACATCTTCTGGTATTTTAAAGTGCAAAGGACTCGTGTATTCTCGCTGAGATGAATTTCATCAACAGAAGTGAAGTACAGAGTAAGAGACGAATTGTACCTTTATGTCAATGTGTGTTATCTTTGTATGATAAATTATGCATGTAATTATATCCAAAAATTTTTAAATAACGTGATCTCAGCATGCATGCAGATTTTTCGTATTAAAGGAAAACGTTCACCGTTGAAGTATTTTTCAAAAAAATATCCAATCTTTAATGAGTAATTGTCTAGCTTCGCCCACTAGGTATCTTTTTTAAAAAAATGCAAGGAATTCAGCTCAAGTTTCCTCATAATGCAAAGTTTGGATTGCAACGTCAAGGATTTTACAGCGCGGTCTACTTCAGCCATTTCATTTGCAAATCATATACTTCAGAGAACGAGAATATTTTCTTTAAAAAAACTAATCGCCTTGTGCGACTTTTCAGAGTTTGCAAGGATTATCGCACATAACGAAACGCAACATAAAGGTGGATCGAGGAAATTACTAAAGCTGTACTCTCCCATTCCATCCCATCACTCATATCACACGTGCAATTCCATGAGACAAAGTTCCATTGGTCGAAGTTTGTCGTTTACACACCTGGGCACACTTCGCGATGTCATTTTGTTTGGTTTTCGTTCAGGGGTGACAGTTGTCTAAATTTTAACTTGATCAAGTGAAATGTATAAAAACTTCTCGCTAATGGGTACAAAGACATTTTAACTTACGGCTTGACTAAGCTCGTTTGTACCGGTGAAACACTCATCTCTTCTCAGTAAGTTCTTGAGTTCTTTGAGTACCAGTTATCATACAATAGCCTGACTGTACTTCTTTAATTAACATTTATAGGTCGTGACTTGTAATTTGATTATTACATGTCACGTTTACGTTTCTTATTATTATTATTATTAATATTATCTGTTATTTTATTATCTTCTGTTATTTGATTATCTTCACCTTTCATAACTACCAAGGATCCCATATTTTTATCTGTCGAAATGTTCCTGTAATTAATCCTTGTAATTAACTGATTAATATGTTGTAACTGGTTTGTACGCTTTCAGATTTTTACTACTGTACGTAATTACATTCCGTCATTTAATTACCTGCAGTTAACTACGTGCAATTGTGTTGAAAATATTAAAAGCTCGAGTTTGTGTTTCAATATATATAAGTTGCAAATTTTGTTCGGCAGTTTGTAATATAATTAAATTTTATATTTCCAGGTTGAAATGCTCGCCAAAACTGTAATCGCGTTCCTCGGAATATCTTGCTTCGTTCTAAGTGAGTATAAAAAAATTCGTCTAGATCTAAATCAATGCCGATTTATTTCTTACAATATTAGGCGCAGTTAATAAGAATCATCGAAATAACTTTTTGCGATATACTCGTGTTATGCTTACACCAGTACTTTTTTATAAGTCTAAGAATATTCTACATTTGAACTTTTATTTGAACTACATTTGAACTTTTATTTAAGAATTTTCTTTTTGAACTTTTTTGAAGAATTCTAACTCTTATTATTAAGAATTTTCTTATATTATTAAGAATATTCTACATTTGAACTTTTATTTGAACTTTTATTATTAAGAATTTTCTTTTTGAACTTTTTTGAAGAATTTGAACTTTTATTATTAAGAATTTTCTTTTTGAACTTTTTTGAAGAATTTTAACTTTTATTATTAAGAATTTTCTTATATTATTATTATTAAGAATATTCTACATTTGAACTTTTATTTTTCAACAATAAAATATGTAATATCTAATAATATATAATATGTTATAAGCACGAACATAAAATGACCCCACACTTATTATTTTTGTTTGATTTGCAGCCAGCGAATATCTAATAATATGTAATATGTTTATAAGTACGAGCATAAAATGACCACACACTTATTATTTTTGTTTGATTTGCAGCAAGCGAATATCACAGAAGGTAACTATATTTTTTATTATTCTTAAATATCATAACGAATATCGGCAAAAGGTGACTATAATTTTTATTTATTTCTCAGTTATGACTATAATTATTCAGCTACAATTATAAAATTTACTGCAAACAAGGATTTAAATTTGTGAAATGCCCTCCGTGACAGGGAGAAAAAATTTGTTTATGTCCCAAGTGCATTCGAATGCCCAGTGTGGATATTTGAGTAATTTTTAGAATTACTACGACTACTTACATTTATAAATATTATGACAACTTACATTTATAAATACCACGACAACTTACATTTATAAATACTACGACAACTTACATTTATAAATACTACGACAACTTACATTCTGATTTTCAGATCTCGAGAGGCGAAGAGACGCGAGGGTCTCCAGGCCCACAGCCCGCCGGCACCAACCTCCGCGAGTTGAAATGGAACGATGACCTCGCTCGCGGTGCCCAGGTACGCTACTTTAATTATGATGTATCAATTATTATTATGATGAAATGTATGAAATATAATTACGATTATTTATGAAATTTAATTATGATTAATTATAAACTTAAATTCTGATTAATTATGAAATTTAATTATGAATAATTATAAAATTTAATTACGATTAATTATGAAATTTAATTATGATCAATTATAAACTTTAATCCTGATTAATTATAAACTTTAATTCTGATTAATTATAAACTTTTATTCTGATTAATTATGAAAGTTAATTATGATGAATAGGTACTTTTACAGAAATGGCATACCATTATTTTCCCAAATATTTTATATTTAAATAGTACGTTTTAAATAAGTTACAAACCATTGGAGACCATTTGCGTACTGAATCAATCAGATTAAAAAATTTTTTGTAACCTAAATGAGGCATTTGAATTCAACTTTCCCAAAATACTAATTTTATTAGTTCTAAGGACGTTACAAATTTCATCAGTCTAATTTATTTCAATGGGGACATTATACAATTTCAGCGATGGGCCGAGCAACTTGCCACGGGCCACGACTGTCAGGCCGAACTCGTCGGCTATTCGTCAGTAACTCACTGCAGTCGCGTCCCAGGCTACGATGCTGTCGGTCAGAACTACCAACTTACTGGAAGCAGCGGACCGATCAAGGTAAGCCATGCCAAATAATTTTACGCAAACAGAAAGAGAAAGAGAGGCGCAATGTAATAGTTTTATTTATTATGAATCTTTATATACCATGCATGCATGATGTATAGAAATATAGTGTACGATTACAACTTAATGGTAATTACTTCTTCATTATGAATCTTTATAGACTCTGCATGCATGAGATATATAACTATAGTGCATGATTCTTGATTCTAACTTAATGACAATTACTTTGCAGTCAGCGAATTGGCAGAAAGCAATTGATAGTTGGATCAACGAAGTCAACAACGTTGTCGCCCCCGCCATGACCAGCAACGGAGGAGTCATCGGTCACTACACTCAGGTGACTGCAGCCTCGTGTGTTAGCTTTTAATTTAGAACTTAATTAAGTACGACAGAAAACTTTCTTTGTCTGTAATTTAGCACCTCTTCGTAATTTAGACAGAGATTGTTTTCAAGAAAATAATTTTAATAGTTGGACATTGCCCGCAGTCTTTGATATCAATTTACTTTGTTATGTTAACAAACTTATTTTATAAACATTGACTTGTAATAAATTCATAGCGAAAATGTCTTCCGATGTCCGTTTCTGACTCCATTCGCGTCTTTATATGAAGGTTGTATGGTATGAGACTCGAGAAGTTGGCTGCGGAGTCTTCACCAATAACCAAAAGTGTGCATGGGCTGGATGGAATAAGTTCTACTGCGCCAAGTACATCTGCAACTACGGACCCGCTGGCAACATGGTAGACGAGAACGCAAACCCTCTGCCTCCCTACAGCACCACTGAAGCCTGCAAGAAACCGTCCACCAACTACCCTGGACTCTGCGCCGAGTGATGAAAATGATCCATGAGTTTCGGTCAATATTTTCAGAGTGGAAGCATTAATCAGATTTATTATTTGTAGGATTCGTTCATAATTTTTATATTAAATGTTTGAGACATTTTCCAAGTAATGGCAGGGATTAGAAATTTGACGATTGCACTCCGACGATTGAGCGAATGTTCGATTCGAAGACGGGAAAAATATGGTGATGTTGGTTTTCGTTCCTCTTCCAAAGTTAAAATGTTCAAAACTTCCCTAAAGCAAAACGCTTCATAGAAAAAACAAACTGCTTCGTTTTGCTTCCTGATTCTGAAGAAAACGTCCCTGCCTCAGATTCGCTCGAATTTATTTTCAAACTCAGCATGAGGTTTATTAAAATATCTTGCATGGCGTAAGTTTTTTATTTTTCACTGCAAATCGTAACAGAATATGGGATCAATATAGTAAACATTTTTAGAATTTTATTATCAGAAAATTGAATACAATAAAATTCGCAACAACACGGTCATCTGATAGACACCATCTAAGAGAGATGTCTACATGAAGAATATTCAAGAACAGAAATTGAAGAAAATTATTCAAAAAACTTCTGCGTTCTAATAATTTCAGGGACTTATTATTGAACATAATAATAATAAATATCAAAAGCAACACCTCACCACCATGGATCGATGTTCTGTGCCAGTGAGGCCAATACGATCTAAATCACCTGAGAAACATTCTGAAACTTAGGATTGAAGGATGCTCGAAAATACATAAGGAAGGTATGCAACATCTACATTGAACTCAAACTCGAAAGTCTTCAGCAATTGTTCAATAAAGCATTAGAAATGAATGCCAGATAATTATTATGCACAACAGAAGTCATTGCAAAATTTAGTTAATTTACCATAACTTTACGGTCTAAATACATGGACAGGCTAATCAATATATAGTAGGGTGACAAAAATGTACGGACTATGAAGAGCTTTCGTAACCGATAAAGGAAGAAGAACCGAATGTTTATTCCTTATACACGTTATGCATACATATTTTTTTACCTTGGCTTTTTGTAATCTGGAAACCGACTTACCTTGGATCTGTTAGAGGTCTATCCTCCTTTAGATCTAAAACATTACCATAAACTATATGACCGCGAAATTGTTGCTGCTTTAGAAATGACTAAACTCTACTTAAGAGGAGATTAGTGGAGCTTCTACCTTCTACTCAAATTTATCTAAAATAATAATAATTTTTATTAACGTTTCGAGGCCTCAGTCACTTAAAAAACACCTCCAGTATTCTTGTTCTCATGGAGTCTAAATCTATCGCACACATTTGACACGTAAAATCGAAGGAAGATGTTGGTTAGAAAATTTATTTGTAAATTCAACCATGTTGTAAGCCAATTATTCGTGGAAGGGGGCGGTATTTGTTTGGCTTGGTCTTTCCTCGGAAGACAAAGCAAGCATTCCTCTGAAGTAATTCCTTCGATCAATTTTTAATCTGTCATTAAGAACCCTTTTTTCAATATCCGTGTCTCCAATTCTGTTCATAGCGCTGGGGCGAGCAGCTGTCTTCTAGGGCATGACTGGCAGTCCGAACTCGTCGGTTATTCCTCAGTGACTCGCTGCAGCCCGAGGTACAACTCCGTTGGCCAGAATTTATACCTCAGTTTATTCATTCCAAAGATCACGGTAAGAAATAATACATGTGGGTATTTATGGATTCCAGTGGATTCAGTGCAAATAATACTGGCATTTATAATACGTGTGGGCATTTATAGATGAAAAAAAATCAAATGCTATTGTGTTCGTATTTCATGTCACTCTGTGTCGTTTCTACGGGGCATTTTCAAACATACATAGAGGATTATGGAGAAAATGTTATAATAGAGAATAATAGCAGAAAAATGTGTCCTGTTGTCGTCGTTTCGTTCATTTGATTTTTATAATTTTTATCTACTATTACTTCCCCAGTCACCGAATTGGAAAGCAGCCATATATATAGCTTGATAGATGAGGTCAAGGATGTGCTTATAACACTGACATGACCAGTAAGGTAGGAGTCATTGGTCACTACACGCCGGTGACCGCACACTGAAATTGGATGCCATTGACTATAAAATCTGTATTAAAAAATTTTACAGTGTAGAAAGATCCTAGAAAAATGGTGTTTGCCTCCATGACGGTGTTTGCCCCAAAGATCCTAGAAAAACGGTGTTTGCCCCCATGAAGTAACACAGGACGGGGAATATTATCCACGTTTCATCCTGTATGATCTGTTGAGGTACTCTCGGATGTGAAAAGCGCTTCGATTTTTTATCATTTGCGGAATTCTGTTCTTATTGAAGTAGCGAAATATTATTGCAAAAAAAGGGGCGTCTGCCTTGGAGCGAAGAAACGAGCGAGGACACAAAAATAAGATTTTCTTGTACAAATGTCTCAGAGTCTAACCCATGAGAACGACGTTGAGTTGTCAATCCAACGATCTTGACGATGCAAGATGAGCGTCTCTTACATGACAATCTTTTCGCGTACAATGGATAGAAATTCTTATGTGTTTTGCATTGTGTCATAATTCTTCTAAACTGGGCTTCTAACGTGTGCCGTACTATGATATATGCTTCTAAACTGGTCCTCTAACGTGCGCCGTGTTGTGTTATACGTTTCTAAATTGGGCCTCAACCGCAGGAACAAAGCTCAGTTGCGTAATTTAAAACATTTTCAAAAGCATTACAGATTTTGAAAAATAATTATCCGCTCAGAATTGCGTACGTAGTCTCCGCATGAACTTGGCTGATTGCGCGTAATGTTAGAGAAGGTCACATCGATTGAGCTTCTTACTCAAGGATATTGATATTTATTATTTACAATTTGATTATCCATTGTCAACGAATTGTATTAACTTAAGTGCAGAAGTTGTATTCTAACATCCTTAATCCAGACAAATGTATTTCCTCGTCTTGTGCGAAGAATTCTAATGTCTGGCTCATAATGTCAATTATGAACCCATTACTATAGATAATAAAAACTAACGATAACCCCTCCATTCCTTACTGTACTCCTTTTATAATCTTTTTAAACTATAAACTTTGTAAGGCCTTCACTGCATTGGTTACTGAACACAGTCGCGGCAGCTCGCACCATCAGAAGCGTGAGTAGGGAACTGCATCGAAATCGAACTGACGTTCAGCCTGTGATTATTTGCAGCTAATTAATATAATGCGCATTCATAAGATGTGCATTCATATGGTGTGCATTCATATGGTGTGCATTCATATGATGTGCATTCATAAGATGTGCATTCATAAGATGTGCATTTATAAGATGTGCATTCATAAGATGTGCATTCATAAGATATGCATTCATATGATGTGCATTCATATGATGTGCATTCATAAGATGTGCATTCATATGATGTGCATTTATATTAATCACTTATCTTCACACAGTTATGAGTTACGCATGTTACAGTTTAATTTGAAGCGACCAGCCGGTCGTTTATGCTGAGTCATGGACGTCATGGTTGCTCAGACTCATGACAGCTCATCATTTAGCTCAAAATTTAGAGTCGCCCCAGCTTCTGGTACTCCAAATCAGAAGCTGACACGTCTGTAAATTTTCACTGGGAAGAACTCATATGAACTCCTCTAGTAACTCCTACCCTAACAAAATTTAGAGTCGCCCCAGCTTCTGGTACTCCAAATCAGAAGCTGACACGTCTGTAAATTTTCACTGGGATGTCTCAGATCGCGGAGGTCTACTCAATAGAAATTATAGACGAGCCTTTGCTTCTGTAACAAGGAGAGTAAAAGGTCGGCAGCTTAACTGTAATTATATTTAATATTGTGATGAATCGTAGTTTAAAATTCGTCCCTAATATCATGTGACATTTGTTCGTAATTAAAATTTTTGTAGTCATGTCCTTATTCATCAGTTGCTCAAATTATTTATACAGATAATGTGCATATCATTTATACATGTATATCGTATATAAGTTATACATTTATTGTTCATAAGATTTACTGCTTCAAGCTGGGAGTCGTTGACAGGAATCGTGTCGTACGCAGACCGGACGAAGGTCAAGGTAATTATTATTAAGTGTGATGAAGTAACAACAAATGTGTGATGATGACGCAACGCAAGTGATGAAGACCTAACAACAAATGTCACCTAACGAGTTCCAAAAAATGCAACGCGATTGTCAACTGTATGAATAAATTCACGCGGCCATCAACTGATTTCACGCAGGAGTCAAATATGATCAAGCGATGCAATTAATATAACCTTAATTAATTAATGCAAAATTAATGCAAATTAATTTATAACCTGTAAATTAAAACACCAGCAGGTCTGGACCTGACGGCTGACGCACCAGAGGTCTAACTACGATGAATATATTACCCAGATTTGTTTACCTACTCTGTTAGAGAAATTACCGTTAACGGTATTATACCGGCATTTCAGTCGCCGGTCAGCACGTGAAAGAAACACCGTGTCGCCGTTTTTATTCTAATTTAACACTAGAAATCCGTAAAACATCTAATAAAAACGGCGAAACAGTTTATTTTCAAGGGGCCATTGGCCACTAGAAAGCCAGTGGGACCGTTTTTTCACCGTTTTTTCTAACAGTGTATCATTTCGTGCTTCATACAGGAAGAAGGACTCAGATTAGCAAATTTAGAATCTAACGACGACCACAACGCAGAGTTCTCTTTCTTTACTTCAATTGCTACATGAAATTATTAATGCCTGGCAGGAGCGCCTTTGTCACCCGTAGAGACGAGGTCAAGGGAACAGTACATGGAATCATTATTTAAAATAATAGTTTGGCCCATAAACTTTCGCCGATATAGAAAGCTCACGAATGGCAAAACAATGTCATAACGTAATTAACGCAATGGCGCCATTAACGCAATGTCATAACGCCAATGTCATGATTAGTGACGCCCAAGTATGATAAGAGAATCAAAATTTATTCGAGATATCCTCATGCTTATCCTTCGTCATACATTATTGAATTCCATTTACATCTATATTATATCGGGGTCCGAACCTTGATTACGTTTTCCTATAAGAGGTTATATCTCGTAGAAAATTCAAGTGGCGAACTTCGCAATAGCGAAATGGAGTAGCAAGGAGACGATGGTGACGAGACTGACGCTGCGTGCCATGTCCGATGTTGCACCATCGGTCGTGGTTGTAGGGACTGTAGTGGCAGGGGTAGTTGTGGTAGTGGTCGTCGTGGTGGTCGTAGTAGTGGTAGAGCTTCTTACTCAAGAATATAGATAGTTATTATTTACAATTTGATTATCCATTGGCAACGAATTGTATTAACTGAAGTGCAGAAGTTGTATTCCAACATNGTCGTGGCGGGGGTTGTCGTGATAACTGCATCCACCATGGTTTTGTTGATGGTCTGCAAACAACGTGTACGTGAGTACATCATTAATTTGGAATGACGTGTAATCTTCTGTCAAATTTGAGCGGGTGCCATAGAGATGGTCATCAAAGAGTTATAGTGCTCATAATGTTTATGTACTCTAAATTATAATGTTCTATTATTAATTATTGTTTCATTATTATCATTAACTCCTGTTCATACAATTATCGTGTTCTGGATATTTTAACGTATTAATGATATACTGAATTAACTTTCATCTAATGTATGCTGAATAAAATATTGAAACTATTGACGCTTCGAAACAAAAAATATTGTGTAGATTTCAGTGCATTGATTTTACAAAAATCAGTAAAAATTATAATAAATCTAATTTCATGCCTGTCCAGGACAATAACTGTTCCACTCACATCTGGCCACGATAATCACAGTTGTATTCACCACTCTGCCCAAAACCATCAATTTTCCACACATCATTTTATCCAGGACAAGGAAGCACCAGTACTCTGACCATGACACTTTAATGTACATTTTCCCGCTAGTCGTTTTCTCAAAAGAAACTCCCCTACAATTAGGTACATAACAAAAACTTCTTTCCTCACCCTCTCGAGGACAACGGACATCCCAGCCACACTGCCAAATCCAGTTGCCCCCAGAGGCACCACGTCACGGGCGATGACGTAGAAACCTTTGACGTCCATCTGCAGCTCCGTGTCGGGGCTCGCAACGAAGCTGCCGCAACACTCCACTTGGCTGGGGTCTCTAGGGTACAACCCACTAGACTGGGAAGCCTTTTTATGACTACTGATGGAGGCCACGGATTTTGGGGAAAGCTTCCTGACTTCCCCAGCAGGTTTAGCGCTGGTCACGTAGAGAGTAGAGACGGAAACCAATGATCCTTCCTCGACGACCGCGTCGGCATCGTCGCCGGTAATGGCGTACGAGAATATGCTGTCGTCGCGACGCAGGTCGACCCCTGAGAAGGAATACGGGAGGGTGAAAATAGACCTATAATGGTGAATACGGTAGGGTGAAAATAGCACTAATGGTGAATACGGTAGAGTGAAAATAGCCCTATAATGGTGAATACGGTAGGGCGAACATGCCCCTGAGAGTGAACACAGAAGGATGAATATAGCCTTAAAAGTGAACATGGCTCTGGCAGTGAACACGGGAGGGGAACTTTACGTGGGTAAAACAGTCGAATCGGCGAAGCGGTGAAATGTGGAATAAATGAATAGATGAAGAAGTAAGTCAGAAATTATATGAAGGTGGAAGTTAACAAGTATATTAAGAAGGCAGTAAGCAAGTAGGTGTAGGAGGAAGTTAGCAAGGAGATGATGGATGGAGTTAGCAAGTAGACGAAGGAGGAATTTAGCAAGTAGAGGAAGGAGGGAACTAGCAAGTAGATGCGGTTCACACTCCTGCAGAATACTTCCCGATTTTTACAACGGTAACGATGTAATGCAGTAGAAATTACCGGCAACTGCAACGTTTTCACGTCTAAACCACTGACATCTCTGCAGTGTGCCTGCCTTCTCCTACAATGTTTATTGCTCGGCTAGATCTGGCCCTATTTTCTCAACTGACAGCCGTCAGGTCCTTTAATGATTAAAATTCTAGCCCAATAATTTGTTAGTCAGAACTATCATTATGAGATTGCTTCTCTGATATATTGCCCTGTTAACAATCGTTCAAAATGCCATAAAATCGTAGTGACTGTCAGTCACACAGTGCAACAAGTCCCATCGAAAATGATACAGCCAAAGTCGAATTCACCTTAGCAGTCAACACTTTTTTGTAATCAACAATGATCATTTGCATCAATAAAATCGCTAACAATAACAATAATAATAACTGATGATCCAACTATTAAGTAAATAGTTTGGGAAAACGGCTATCGTCAACTTAGAAATAAAACTTAATAAATGAAAAAATTATACAAATCCAAAACGAATCATAATAGTTTAATAAAGGTAGAACTTATAATAAAGGAAGAATAGAGGCTAGTATTAAGTATGACGGACTCTCATCAGTATTCTCGACAATAAACATTTACAAGAAACAACAAGCGCAGTGTTCACCTTGACCATCGTCTAGGAGCTTTACGCCGGACAGGGTTCTGTGGTCGCCACCCCCAGGCGGAGTGAGCAGCAGGTCTGCCGTCACCGTCACCCGCGACCCTAGCACCTGACGGCCGTAGTTACGGACCTGGAGGAGGAAAAGGGGATAAGGATGCGGAGAGCTGTGGGAGTGAGAGAGGGTGGAAGAGGCGTGAGGCGAGTGAAGTTGGGGCTTAGTGAAAGAAGGGCGAGTGAGAGGTGAAGGAGGGATAAGGAAGAAGGTGAAAGGGAGAACGGATCAAGAGATTTGCTTGTCGGAGACCAACGCTGCTCAGTCCCGCGTGGACAAACAAGATCTCTTCATCGAATAACGTAGCTCCCAACAATTTTGGTCTGTCACGTTCGTTATCGCCTGCAAGCCAAGTAAGTCAAAACATATCCCTAAAATTAAACCAACCAGCCTTCAGCACAGAAGATGAGAATGGTATGGACCAACATCGTCCGCCACTTCATGAAATAATTTTACATCAACCGGACAAAGAGCGTGGCAGCCTTGCGGCATTCATTCTGTTCATTCTCATCTCCATCCAGCCGCTGATATTCCGTATCAATCGTCGAAAAACGATTGATTTCGGAACCAGACTTTACGATCTAAAATCTAACTTCCGATTCTGTTAACTTAAAGTAAAGTAATTTAACTATGTCACAAAGGAAATGTTTGATCCGTGGCGTGGTGATGCTAAGAAGGTCTCAAGCAACGCGTAAGGAGGATTAAGTTGATAGATCACATCACGTCTTACGCTGCTCACAGTTGGAGCACTGGCAAGATTAGGAAGTTTTGCTCCGGTCTTCGGTTAGGAAGACCGAGTGTATAACGAGACCTGGCAAAACTATTCACGACGCCAGGGTGTGGAGCGCACCTCCTGCCGTGCGTGTAGAAAAGAAAGAGAACGTTGAACTCATGTAAAGTTTGACTGTATCGGTAGCTACGTTTCCTGGCAGGCGAGACATTTTTTTCGGCTCAACTCCATTGGAGAACGTGAATATTCTTCCCTTTTTGGGAAGAATATTTTTCATTCCATGTGAACATGACAGAACTCGAGAACCACCGAGGCGTAAAGAAATTTCATTCGTACATGAACGCTCTTCAATTAATAGTAGGAACAGGACTGAACTCACGACCCACCGAGGCGTACAGAACACTACATTCATGCATGAACTCTTCACTTAATAGTATAGGAACATGGCAGAACTCACGACTCACCGAGGCGTACAGAACGAGTTCTTGGTTTTTGAGAATTCGTGCAGCTGGCCCACGCCCCTCCGACGTCCACACCTCTACGTCCAACTGTGAACATCAAATTAACAGTGTAATTTAAAATTATTTAATACACATACTTTATAATTTTTAATTTGTGTGCTAAACGGTAATAGCATTTGGCCATACTGCACTTATAACATATTCAAAGTCAATATGGAAAGGAAAGTTAATATAAAAGTTAAACGACCATTTCTTTAGGGCGTCATTAACATAACTGTCTACAAGAGGAAGGCAGTCGACAATCATCCTCAGTGTACAGGCACAAGACCCATTTCACTCACCAGCAATTGAATGAATTAATCCAACTACAAGGTATTACGTGTAGGAGGAATGAATTAATCTAACTATTACCTCCCATTCAATTTATTCAGTTTTCTATAAATTTCTTTGGGGCAGGGGGTTTGGAGGGCATATATGTACAAAGATTCATTATTAAGTCCTGCCAATCTTATGTGCAAACAAGAAATGCGAATACAACATGCTAGAAATTGGCGAAATTCTTGAATAGGAAAAATGCTGAGAATAGTTGAGTACCTCTTCGGTCTTTCCAACGAAGTAAAGCTCACTCCAGGTAACCTGCACCGCGATGTCTGAACTGCCTTTGTTCAGTATTTTCAGACTCCACTCCTCACCAGGGAACGCGCCCTATGTGACAAAACAACCATTACACTTATGCACTGAAAAATGTTAGTACTAGAATTACCTTATAACTTTAAGTTTTCATTTAAATAGTCTATGCACCGGACAACTAACTATTAATTATAACATCGGTAGTTGCAAGTGCAAGTCCAATAACATAATGTCACAAAATGACTGAACTTTTGAATAAGGGAAGGGACCGTTTAATTAATCTATCCATAGGAACAGCGCGACACTGTGTAAAGTAGATCATGGTTCATTATTTTTGAAGTCTAATTCAAGAACTAGGCGCTGTAAATGATGTTGATCTTGTCTACGGAGCTGACGCTAGTAAACGGCAAGTCCTAATTAACAACACGATTAATTTTGCTGCAATTGATTTAGTCTGATTGCTGCTTGAGAAGTCTTCATAAAATGCTAAAACAGCGGCTAGTGAAGAATATCAAAGGAAGATTAATACCAAACAAGACATAACTTGATGTACATAACGTGAGTTTGGGCTCGTCATTTGTTGAGAAACCCATTATAATATATCAAAACTCTGATAACAGAATGCATGCACAATAGTATGAACAACAAACTACCTAACCGCTTCAACAAACTACCTAACCCCTTCAACAAACTACCTAACCGCTTCAACAAACTACCTAACCCCTTCAACAAACTACCTAACCGCTTCAACAAATTACCTAACCCCTTCAACAAACTACCTAACCCCTTCAACAAACTACCTAACCCCTACATTCGAACTGATCCACTCACTTGCGACACCGCAGTTATCTTGTAGAGAATAAAGTTCTCGTTTTTTTCGCATGTCTCGCAGTCTCTGTAGGTGCCATACTTCTTGTACTGAACCGTCAGGTCGGAGACGCCGGCGCTCGAAGTCACCACGGCCATGAGTGTCTTGGCCACGTCAGTCTGGTAGTAGACAGTGTCTTGGACGGAGCTGCCTGCTAACACGATTTCCGAGTTTTCCCGTCCCTGCCGATGAAATTATTTATGTGTTTAATGGAACATTTAGGAATGAAACATAACTAACATAACTTGGACCAAACAATGCATTTTAGAAACTGGAATAATTGAGTTAGATAAAACTTTGGTGAATAACAGTTACAAATTAGTGAAATTAAAAATTGAATTTTTAAACCTTTTAAAAATGAAATACTTAATAAACAGCGAATATCAATTTACACAAAATAACCAATTTTTTCTTAAAATAGTAAATCATGAACGAAATAAATGGCGCACATGTTGCAAATTGCATAGAAACGAATTTGTTTACCTATTAATAAGAATTTCGAAGCGAAAATTTGATGACATTGAGCACAACAAATTAAGAGGTCTAGAGTTGCCAATTCTTTGCTTGCAAAAATTTTACCTAAAGATGCCTGCACGCGTGGAAAGTTCTGCCGGCATTAGGCTAACAAACAAACAAGAGGGAAGTATAGAGTGACAGCATTTTCTCATCTGGAGCCGCCATTGCGTACTTAGAAGCTGTCGAGTGAAGTCTGTTGTCGATAAAATAATGTGGAACGAAACAGTGAGTTTGGGGAGGCTTTATCTAAAAAGCAGTTGATGAAATTGTAGTAAATTGTTCATGACGGCAAACGCCTACTCCTTGCTTCTTTCAATGGAGAAGAATTTCGCACGAAAATTTCTATCGAGTAATATTAACCGCTAATAATATCGGCCTAAGACTTTTCCAGCATACAGGCACTTAACTCACAACAGACGACCGTTCATGTATAATTTGTTTGATGATTTCAAAACACCGTACAATGGGTGATCCATCATTTGATGGACCTGAACCAGCCAACTCACAACGGGGTGATCATTTATGTATCCCTTGTTGATGAAGTTTTCAACCTCAGCAACAGCGATGACCGGCGTCATTACGTTGACGCCGTTGGTGACGTTATTGGTGACGAAGCGTCCTCCTGAGTACTGCAGGAACGTAGCGCACGGCAGCAACTTGGGGGCGTTCTCAGGGAAGAGCATTAAAGGCTTCATGCGGCGCGTGTGTAGCGACTCCTGCACCAAAAACATAATGGTTTCTTATCACAAACAAATGAAGAATTTGCTCATATAAAGCAAATATTGCGCAGATATTCGTCAGGATTGGAAACAATAAAGCGAGGCACACTGTTAGAAAACTAACCGTTAACGGTATTACCGGCGTTTCAGTGGCCGGTCGGCACGTGAAAAGAAACACCGTGTCACCGTTTTTATTCTAATTTAACACTAGACGTCCGTAAAACATCTGATAAAAACGGCGAAACAGTTTATTTTCACGGGGCGACCGGCCCCTAGAACGCCGGTGGGACCGTTTTTTTCACCGTTTTTTCTAACAGTGCACTGTTTTATGTCTCACTCTCTGTACGTTGCGAATCGGGTATTGTAAAGATCTCAGGTAGCACCAAAATGAAAAGTTTCTTGCTGTATGAACCGGATAATCATAATATAGTTATCTTGTCAGCATCTCTTGTTAGCGCAAATGTATTTAATTCAGCCACCATCAAACAATTATCAATTATACTAAACTAAAGCAGCGGTTTGACCCACAGCAATAGTTCTGTCGAGTTTCGAGGCGTCGATGAGTTCCTGGTTGACAGGGAGTAGCACCATAACAATTAGCTATTGTACCTACTAAACTAAAGTAACGGTTTGACCCACAGCAATAGTTCTGTCGAGTCAAACAATTAGCAATTATACTAAACTTAAGCAACGGTTTGACCCACAGCAATAGTTCTGTCGAGCTTCGAGGCGTCGATGAGTTCCTGGTTGACAGGGAGTAGCAGCAACGTGCCTGGGAAGAAGTCGTCTGCGGTCCTTAGCACCTCGCCCAGCACGAGGGCCAAGTCGGGGACAACATCGCGGTCTTCAGGCGACGGCAGCAGTGCGTAGAGCTCGTCGATGTCTGAGGAGGGATCAACCGCAACAAAATTCAGCGGCGATGTAATAAAATTAAAATAGATTTTGTCATTTGTTTTGTATTCTACTTGAAAATTTTTAGAATTCATTTTACGGAATAGATATAATATCATTTTAAATGAATTGCTTCATTTTTCTACATTTTTCAGGAATCGCAAAACTAAAAAACAATTTACAATGTTGTCACACGCGAGAATCCCTAATAAAGAATTAAAGATAAAATTTTTAATAATTTCTCCACGTTCGTCACTGAAAATTATCTTATTCGTATTCGTTTCGCAATAATAAACACATCCAACTCTCTGGAATTTTTCGCAATCCTACTAATTGAATGTGAAGCAATTCACTGAAGGTCACTGAAGACCAATTTTCATATATAATCATCATGGGAATACCATAAATATTAAATACAATACAAATATTTAATCGAATTCCCGCCTCATACCTGAGACGGGGGAGTAGGGGCGCGTTTGGTTGACCGTTATTTCCCCGGCGCCATCGGTCCGGTATGACATCATGCCAACGGTATGACATCATGCCAACGGTATGACACCATGCCGACGGTATGACACCATGCCAACGGTATGACACCATGCCGACGGTATGACACCATGCCAACGGTATGACATCATGCCAACGGTATGACACCATGCCAACGGTATGACATCATGCCAACGGTATGACACCATGCCAACGGTANATTACGTACGGAACAGACATAGAATTATGTCAAATGTTGCGAGAAGAAAGTCATGATATGGAATCTATCGGATGATACAAAAAATATAACTCAGTACTCACAGCAGTGAGTAACAGAGAGCGCATTTTCTCATCGACGAAAACTTGAGGTCACGGACGGACGGACAGATGGACAGACGGACAGACAGACGGACATGGCGAGCACAATAGTGCATTTTTTCCATAAATGAGAAAATGCGCTAAAAATTAACCGACAAATCGAAGACTTACATCTTACAAAAATTTTATCATATATTCATGTTACAGCATAGAATGGTAACTAAGGCATTAGTCACTCCCGTTCTCCCAAACGGTTTAGGGATGCAAATGTAAATGGTTACATAAAGCAAAGATACGGGAAGACAGGAGCTAGAAGTAACTGGTTACATAAAGCAAAGATAGGGAAGACAGGAGCTAGAAGTAAATGGTTACATAAAGCAAAGATAAGGGAAGACAGGAGCTAGAAGTAAATGGTTACATAAAGCAAAGATAAGGGAAGACAGGAGCTAGAAGTAACTGGTTACATAGAGCAAAGATACGGGAAGACACGAGCTAGAAGTAACTGGTTACATAAAGCGAAGATACGGGAAGACATGAGCTAGACGTAAATGGTTACATAAAGCAAAGATACGGGAAGACAGGAGCTAGAAGTAAATGGTTACATAAAGCAGAGATAGGGAAGACAGGAGCTAGAAGTAACTGGTTACCTAAAGCAAAGATGCGGGAAGACAGGAGCTAGAAGTAAATGGTTACATAAAGCAAAGATAGGGAAGACAGGAGCTAGAATAAGTGCTGACTCACGCCTGCTGGAGCTGAGGCTGGTGGCGTGTCTAGCAGCAGCAGCACGCGTCCCAGAGGCTCCTGGGTGATGGTGACCAGCGGGTCAGTGGTCGCATGCTCTGACATCCTGCCGGAGGAACAGTTGTACATTTAAAGTTGAATAAGAAACGCGATTTATTTATTATTCCTATTAAATATTACTACTGATAATATTTATGATCAGATTACAGGACAGCATAGTGGACAGTGCCGTCCTTGTCGTTGTAGTGAATGCATCATACCGGAGCAAATTCAGAGCGAATATCCTAAGGTAGAAGCAAACATATCCACACCCTAAAATATAGTAACAAAAAATTAAATACCTTTGAAATTACAAAAATAGAAATCAACACAATTTACCTGGTATAAAATGATAAAAATTCGCAGTAAAATTACAAAATGTGAACAGTAATGAGGTATATTTTTGGTCTGTCATTCAAACAAAGCCAATACTAACAAATAAGCAAACAAAATACATAAATTTGAACAATAATTATTTTGAAACGAAACTTTTAATCAAACAAATGTGTTATCACGATCAATGCTCAATGATCTCACATTCCGTAGTCGGGATGCTGCTGGATGACCTCCATGATGGACCGCCCGTCGCACAAAATGTTCTGCGGGGACGGAGTGTCGCGTACATGCGTCCCGGCGTCACAGAACTTGCCCGTCTGCAAAATGTATCAGGGCATGGTTATGGGGCATGGTGGTGTCATAGGGTACGGTTATGGGGCATGGTAGTGTCCCAGGGCACGGTTATGGGGCATAGTGGTGTCATAGGGTACGGTTATGGGGCATGGTAGTGTCCCAGGGTACGGTTATGGGGCTGTCTCTTATACACATCTAGATGTGTATAAGAGACAGGNCACCGAGAGGGCCGGCATGTAGCCGAGTGAAGCCTGAACCTGCTCGGCGGCATTAAGAACAGTTCTCACCGAGAGGGCCGGCATGTAGCCGAGTGAAGCCTGAACCTGCTCGGCGGCATTAAGAACAGTTCTCACCGAGAGGGCCGGCATGTAGCCGAGTGAAGCCTGAACCTGCTCGGCGGCATTAAGAACAGTTCTCACCGAGAGGGCCGGCATGTAGCCGAGTGAAGCCTGAACCTGCTCGGCGGCATTAAGAACAGTTCTCACCGAGAGGGCCGGCATGTAGCCGAGTGAAGCCTGAACCTGCTCGGCGGCATTAAGAACAGTTCTCACCGAGAGGGCCGGCATGTAGCCGAGTGAAGCCTGAACCTGCTCGGCGGCATTAAGAACAGTTCTCACCGAGAGGGCCGGCATGTAGCCGAGTGAAGCCTGAACCTGCTCGGCGGCATTAAGAACAGTTCTCACCGAGAGGGCCGGCATGTAGCCGAGTGAAGCCTGAACCTGCTCGGCGGCATTAAGAACAGTTCTCACCGAGAGGGCCGGCATGTAGCCGAGTGAAGCCTGAACCTGCTCGGCGGCATTAAGAACAGTTCTCACCGAGAGGGCCGGCATGTAGCCGAGTGAAGCCTGGACCTGCTCGGCGGTCTCGTCTTCAGGGAAGCAAAAGTAGCAACCGCTGCTTCCTGGCGTACAGGTGGCCGTTTTTGAGCTGGGAGAATAATTGGTGAGAATTACATCCAACACAAGTAAATTTTTTCACCAGCTCTAAATAACAGTAACATCCAGTTGTAACACCAGTTGTAGGTAACATCATCAGACGCATGAGGCACAAATGTTGTTGGCATCAAAGAACGCAGGTTCATTTGAACCAAAGAATGCAGCTTGTGAGGCCACGAGCTGCCATGGAGACTGCGCTCCTCCCAGCAGTCAAATTAGAACAAACAACAGACTTTAAAAAGACGATAATAAAGAGCTTGTGGCATGCAATGTTTCCTGGAGCTAGTTATCATTCTCCCATTAGAGTTTAGTTCAGAGAACGCCTACCAATGAATGTTATTTCTAATTACGCTACTCAAAGCTGATGGTTAAACACCGCAGAACACAAGTGTGTGGCCTATAATAGTAATTAAGACTGGCCAGTAAAAGTTAATTGCCTGATGTTGATTATCTTATTGTCTAGATGTGTCTAGAATACTCGACCCAATGACGCGTTTTTGTGATATTTCTAGTACCAGTCAAATACTTGAGCGATATTATCCGTGTAGTGTTATTCGTGCGAAGGGAGCGTTCAGGCTATGGTATGCCAAGTGTTATTAGTGCGAAGCAAGCGTTTGAACGATGGTATATCTAGTTTCGTATGTGCGAAGCAAGTGTTTGAACGATGGTATGTCTAGTATCGTATGTGCGAAGGAAGCGTTTGAACGATGGTATGTCTAGTATCGTATGTACGAAGCAAGCGTTTGAACGATGGTATGTCTAGTTTCGTATGTGCGAAGGAAGCGTTTGAACGATGGTATGTCTAGTATCGTAATGTGCGAAGCAAGCGTTTGAACGATGGTATGTCTAGTATCGTAAGTGCGAAGGAAGCGTTTGAACGATGGTATGTCTCGTATCGTATGTGCGAAGGAAGCGTTTGAACGATGGTATGTCTAGTATCGTATGTGCGAAGGAAGAGTTTGAACGATGGTATGTCTACTATCGTATGTACGAAGCAAGCGTTAGAACGATGGTATGTCTCGTATCGTAAGTGCGAAGCAAGCGTTAGAACGATGGTATGTCTAGTATCGTATGTACGAAGCAAGCGTTTGAACGATGGTATGTCTAGTATCGTGAGTGCGAAGGAAGCGTTAGAACGATGGTATGTCTAGTATCGTATGTGCGAAGGAAGCGTTTGAACGATGGTATGTCTAGTATCGTGTGTGCGAAGGAAGCGTTTGAACGATGGTATGTCTAGTATCGTATGTGCGAAGGAAGCGTTTGAACGATGGTATGTCTAGTATCGTATGTGCGAAGCAAGCGTTTGAACGATGGTATGTCTAGTATCGTATGTGCGAAGGAAGCGTTAGAACGATGGTATGTCTAGTATCTGTCTCTTATACACATCTAGATGTGTATAAGAGACAGGNCCCTCGATTCCCAGGCCATGCGTAAAAGCTCGGAATGTTCGAAAACTCTTTCATTCGTTCATGATGTTTACCTTGCTAACTCGTACATTCAGTCACAGATCAACTGATAGTTCAGTACGTTTGAGTCATACATATTTAACTACAGTAATACTTCGTTGTCTATAAAGGAGAGTGAGTGACGAAAACCGGCTTATTAATTCTGAAAGAACAACTTGCCATGAAGCTTACGATGGCTTTATGAAATAGAAGCAGGGGTAGGATCGAAATATTGCATTATTTATATAATATTTGTAATATGGAATTATTTTACGCAAAAAGTCCATCAATTACCAGTCGCTCTTGAATTTGCCTTTGGTGGTGCCCGCGATGCACATGGTGGACTTGTAGGATCCGTACATGGAGTTGTAGACGTTATCCCCACCGAACCCGTGCTCGTCTTGAACTCCCCAGCGGTAGTGGGCCCACTCGTGGGCGAGGATGTGGCCTGCGACCAGAACATATGTTGGAATATGTCAAGAAATGATCTATTCCCGGAGGGTATGGGCCCACTCGTGGGCAAGGATGTGGCCTGCGACCAGAACATGTGTTGAAATATATCAAGAAATGATCTATTCCCGGCGGGAGTGGACAAACGTGCGTTATATAACACGAGTTTCTATTTAATTATCATTATTACATGTAAATTCTTAGCGATGCTGATTATGATATGAATATGATATTATGATATGAGATATGAATCCTCATTGGAGTATGGAGTGTTAGATAAAAATCTCAAATTCAATATATTTACAAACTAGGACTTATTATCCAACAAATTTAGAGTTACCTGGAGTGCCATACCTAGTGTTACCTGGAGTGCCATACTGCAGCTGCTGCCTAGTGTTACCTGGAGTGCCATACTGCAGCTGCTGCCTAGTGTTACCTGGAGTGCCATACTGCAGCTGCTGCCTAGTGTTACCTGGAGTGCCATACTGCAGCTGCTGCCTAGTGTTACCTGGAGTGCCATACTGCAGCTGCTGCCTAGTGTTACCTGGAGTGCCATACTGCAGCTGCTGCCTAGTGTTACCTGGAGTGCCATACTGCAGCTGCTGCCTAGTGTTACCTGGAGTGCCATACTGCAGCTGCTGCCTAGTGTTACCTGGAGTGCCATACTGCAGCTGCTGCCTAGTGTTACCTGGAGTGCCATACTGCAGCTGCTGCCTAGTGTTACCTGGAGTGCCATACTGCAGCTGCTGCCTAGTGTTACCTGGAGTGCCATACTGCAGCTGCTGCCTAGTGTTACCTGGAGTGCCATACTGCAGCTGCTGCCTAGTGTTACCTGGAGTGCCATACTGCAGCTGCTGCCTAGTGTTACCTGGAGTGCCATACTGCAGCTGCTGCCNGAGGGTAGGAGGGTAGGAGGGTAGGAGGGTTTGAGGGTAGGAGGGTGTGAGGGTAGGAGGGTAGGAGGGTAGGAGGGTATGAGGGTAGGAGGGTAGTAGGGTATGAGGGTAGGAGGGTAGGAGGGTAGGGTTACAATGCGCTTAATCATCACTTCATGACGATATGATCAGCTATCGCTAAGATTTCCCTCGTTGAATTTATGTTCGTAAAGTACGAGAAGAAAAAAACGACCGGTAAACCAATACTGCTAAGAAGTGGACGATGAACTACGAAGGTAATACGATGCGTTTGGAACAAAATAGAAATGTGGTCCAACAGGCGACTGGTGGGTGAAGAGGAATGAAGGGTGAAGACAGAACAATGAAGCAGAGAACATTGTATGAAGGCGTCAAACATCCAAAGAAAGCTACACTTGTGTCGAGAACCATCCACTCGGCGCCACAGCGGCGTCAAGGCCTGTCGTAACTGTTAGAATTCATCTCAGAGCCACCTAAGACAGATAACCTAACATCTCGTCTCCAGTATCTTAGTTTAGTTTTGTTAAAGACCCTTCGAAACCAACGTAAGTTACGATCAGTTCCTATGCCTTTAGACTCGTGTAATTCATGTTCAGTATATTATTTAACGTTTCGACTGTATATATTTGATTATTCGTTCGGGCAAAATCTTGCTAAACTAGTCTATTTTTCGTCATTATATTTGGATTTCCTGGGTCCATACTTTCAAAACTCGCTAAGTGAACGTAAGTACTTACGCTCTATTTTCTTGTCTATGATTTGTGGATTTTGCTTGAAAGGCCGTCAATGATTGGCTGATGAACTTACGATCTCTTAACTTTTTTGAAAGTATAGGCCCTGCTCTGTGGACAGGACCACTGATGATTTAAGTAAATTCCGCCAGAATTACGCCTTTTACTGCCATTAAAGCAGCGTTGTCAAAGCCTCGGCATCGACAACACCAGAGTTTCAGCTTCAGTTGTTATTATAGAACACACACTATCATAAATCGAGAGCAACCCTCGTTATCTCGAAACTGCGGAGCTGAACGCATGCTGATGAAAATGAAAGCTGTTCTTCGTCTAGCTCAGTAGGAAAAAATATTCTATCTCGTTCTATAATTCTAATAGAATAATGGAATACATTTCGAAGTCAACCCAAACTCTTCAGACAATTGTGACCTCAACACTTTCGAGGAGCACTGAACGAGGGAGTGGGATACAAGGAGTATTTATTAATTATTTCTTAATAACCGTACTTGTAACGGTGATTTATTTAATTAATCAAAACCTTCGTCGAATGTAAACCTCGAAACTATTAAGTTAACTCGGAATGTTAGTGTGATTGATGCCAGGCGCGCGTGAGCACAAGCGTGTTAGATGCACAAAAGACAATAATATTGTTTGCTTTAAGTTCTCAATTTCAGTGCATTAGATGCCACGACTGGTGATAGCTGTTAAAGTTCTCAATATTACAGGCCCCTTGAAATTTGAATTTTTTAAGCAAATTTTTAAATCATCACCATTTTATTATTCTGATCTAAAAATCATTGAGAAAATCAGACGGATTCTTTAGCATAAAATGTCTAGATTGTTAAGAAAAACCCATTTATACATAATGTAGTTCCCCCATTTATGAGATGTACTCACTTGGAGGCGTTCCAAGTCCTCGGTATGATGAGTGTGAAGTCATGGAATGAGACTCTATTGTCCATAGCGAAGTTCAGGGCCTCTGAGCCAGCCCTTATGAAGGTCTGTTCAAAACAATTTGTCCCGTTAATAATATACATTGTTTATATGCCCTAATACCTTGTTATTGCATACGCTTTAATAGAATTTATATGTTAAGAAATATTACACCCTAGACATGGTAACGAGTCTCCTGAATAAGTTATTTATAAGTTTTTTTAAGGCTTTCAACGATATTTTTGTGGGATAAAAAGTACGTCCGCATAAGCTATTCAGTTTTGAATTAAAGGAAGAATGAAACTTTAGGAACTCCTTCACGTGATTTGGGCGATAATGGGAGTGCTAGTGGAACCTTTTAGTAACAGGGGCGGATTAATAAAAAAGGTTTTTATTATGAGGTGCTAATACAAATTTCCATTATAATTATAGTATAAGGTGCTAATGCCACTTTAAACTATAATGGGACCATGATGAGAGTATATGAGCATCTTTAATAACAGCATCACGAGGAAAATATATTGCTAGTTGCATATCATTTTATAGAGGGTCAGGCTGATTATTATTACTATTTATTGTATACGATTAGCTTTTATTCACAAAGTGTGTATTTTGTAGGGTGAAATTTGTAAGATAGCTTTAGAAAGGAACACAGAACTGATTATTATTACTATTCATTGTATACGATTAGCTTTTATTCACAACGTGTGTGTATATTGTATGATGAAATTTGTAAGATAGCTATAGAAAGGAACACAGAACTGATTATTATTACTATTTATTGTATATGATTGGCTTTTATTCACAACGTGTGTGTATATTGTATGATGAAATATGTAAGATAGCTATAGAAAGGAACACAGAACTGATTATTATTACTATTTATTGTATATGATTGGCTTTTACTCACAACGTGTGTATATATTGTATGGTGAAATTTGTAAGATAGCTATAGAAAGGAACACAGAACTGATTATTATTACTATTCATTGAATACGATTAGCTTTTATTCACAACGTGTGTGTATATTGTATGATGAAATATGTAAGATAGCTTTAGAAAGGCATACATTAGCTTCGCTTTAGTCGATGTCGGTTTACGGACTGATTTCTTTGGTGCCATGGCAGTGTAGAGAAGTTACGACCATGGAGGCTGTGTTCTTATATGTGTAGATAAGTTACGTGTTATGAGGGCTGTCTTTTTATATGTGATGATAAGTTAAGTGTTATAAAGGCTGTGTTCTTCTATGTGATGAAGAGATAATGATCAATTTGTGATAGTTAGTCGAAATTATATTTATAAATGTCAGACCATAAGGCTTGAGTATGTCATATAAATACATTTTTTTATGTTTATTTATTCTCAAATTTCAAGGATTCAATTTATTTACGCAAACACCACGATAGAATTTGGCACAATAAGAATAAACAGTCAAATTGTTCTCAGTAATCTCCATAAGTTCTTCATCATCTTGAATATTAAATTACATTGTGGCGATAGAAGACCTTCATGCATAACCAAGTTCCCTGGCGAGGTGAAGGATCAGACATTGGGGCTGGGTGCCAACATAGCAGCCTAAACATCGGAAGCTTAAAGTACTTATCTCTCCTGAATTATTCCCAGCATTTATCATTACGAATATGTATTTATTTTCTACTCACCTTGACATCAGAAATGAACTGCTGGCCATCTAAAGGTTCCTCTGCATCAGGAGCCACGGCCACCCTCAGCCCGCTGTACCTGCCTTCCTGAATCTGTACACGAGCCGCTGCCAGCGTCGTCCCCAGCAGCAGCACTAAACTCACCGCTCGTCCTTTGTTCATCTTGTGAATCAAACTGCAACAGAAATTATTTGTTAATACAGGCAGATAAACTTTAAGAAAGCAGCATTACACAAGCTATTGGTGATAAGTTCTTTTTGTGAAGGAAATGTAAGGCAGCCGGGAAACTTAATTTTTTTGTGAAGGAGAAGTAAGGCAGTCGGATAACTTTTTTGTAACGTTCATGTCGCATGAACTGAGATTGCCACCTCGAAGGGAGCAATGAAAATGTGCAATATTGGAAGCAGCGATGATTCTATGGACTCTGTGAGACCAGCCATAAGTTATAGTTATGATGCGCTAATATGACTACGTACAAGTTATAGTTAAGATGCGCTAATATGACTAGGTACAAGTTATAGTTGAGGTGCTAGTTAATCTAAAATGGTGCAGAGCACAAGACTGCATGGTAGTCCTTCCGTTACACCTCTTAGGTAGCCTTGGTAGCAACGAGCAGCACCACCAGAAACATTATTATTATTATTGTTATTATTATTATTAATAATATTATTATTATTATTATTACTATCATTATATGGCCATGCAATGTTGTCGTTATCATCGCTTCAAAGTCAATTGTTGTCTTATTGTAATGACTCGGTCTCTGACACACAACTGATGTCCTAAGTCAGTTTCTTGAAAATTTAAATGAAAATTATGGAGAATGTGTTCCGGTCTCATATTTATAATGCGAAATTTACAATTATTTAATTTTTGGCATCTGACAATTTTAAATTTAGTTGACAGAATAAAAAAAATAAATTCTATGCATTAGGGCAACGACAATTTTACTTAATACTTTTCTTTTACTCACCTTTGTTACTTTTTCGGAAAATATATCATTATTTTAGAAACTTGAGTCCATTTAAGGACATTATTTGTCACACACTTCGTCGCTGATTATAAACTGCCCATTAGTGGTTGCTTAAAGGGAGCTATTTCTTTGGATCACAAGAAAATTTACTGCAGTTGCACTGAGAGCGAACAGGAAGTAAATTTGTTGACGAAGAATTTGTTATCTAGCGCCCCACATCAGCAGGAGTCCTGGTGAAAGCATGAGGTTCCCTGCAACAATAAACATTGTCTCGAGACAATGGCTTCTTTCACCACATGAAGCTTATCTTCAGATAAGGCTTTTTATCACCTCTCTTAATGGTGATCAAAGTGGCAACGGCATCTTCATTGTTAAGATAACATGATGCACCAAGACGGACATTGCATTTAGTTTTGTTTTCAAGAGCTTTTTAACAGAATAAATAGCAACGTACACGTGTACGAAATAATTTAGTTTGTGTGCAATGCATGTAGCGAGGCAAGCAACAACTGCAGTGTCCAGCAGGTGATGCATGTAGCGAGGCAAGCAACAACTGGTGTTTGCCCGTCAACGCGACGCGTGCAAAAATTCGTCTCCAGTTGTTACGAGACCGCAGTTTAATTTTTTTATTCTATAGCAGCGAGTTATATTTCAAAATTGTTGACAATAAGATTAAAGGGCGCTGCCGTTTACGTATCTCATGAAAAGTAAAGTAAAGGTAATAGGACCAAGAAGTTAAGAACACACCATACGGAATGTACCGTTCAGCAGGGATCCATAATTACTTTCTTGCAGTGTACATTCAGAAGCAAGGACAATAACCACGTCCCATATACTCTTTCCACGACAGTGAAATTATTAGCATAACGTTTTAACTCTTTTTTCGTCTAAAAAAATACCGCCTAGCCGAATTGAAATCTTTATTGCAATAAACTAAGAATTTTCGGCACATCGTTTGATATGAGTAACTATGAAAACAGTATAAGAAATTACGAATCATTCCGTGATTACCAAGACAGCAACAAACGTAATCTGAGCCAAAAGAATATATCGTAGCTACGATCAGAAGCAAGCCTCGCAGTCCACAGCCTGCACAGCCTGCTCAGCCTGCTCAGCCTGCTCAGCCTGCTCAGCCTGCTCAGCCTGCTCAGCCTGCTCAGCCTGCTCAGCCTGCTCAGCCTGCTCNTTGCACCACATTTGCTATTGTTGCACCACATTTGCTATTGTTGCACCACATTTGCTATTGTTGCACCACATTTGCTATTGTTGCACCACATTTGCTATTGTTGCACCACATTTGCTATTGTTGCACCACATTTGCTATTGTTGCACCACATTTGCTATTGTTGCACCACATTTGCTATTGTTGCACCACATTTGCTATTGTTGCACCACATTTGCTATTGTTGCACCACATTTGCTATTGTTGCACCACATTTGCTATTGTTGCACCACATTTGCTATTGTTGCACCACATTTGCTATTGTTGCACCACATTTGCTATTGTTGCACCACATTTGCTATTGTTGCACCACATTTGCTATTGTTGCACCACATTTGCTATTGTTGCACCACATTTGCTATTGTTGCACCACATTTGCTATTGTTGCACCACATTTGCTATTGTTGCACCACATTTGCTATTGTTGCACCACATTTGCTATTGTTGCACCACATTTGCTATTGTTGCACCACATTTGCTATTGTTGCACCACATTTGCTATTGTTGCACCACATTTGCTATTGTTGCACCACATTTGCTATTGTTGCACCACATTTGCTATTGTTGCACCACATTTGCTATTGTTGCACCACATTTGCTATTGTTGCACCACATTTGCTATTGTTGCACCACATTTGCTATTGTTGCACCACATTTGCTATTGTTGCACCACATTTGCTATTGTTGCACCACATTTGCTATTGTTGCATCACATTTGCTATTGTTGCACCACATTTGCTATTTTTGCACCACATTTGCTATTGTTGCACCACCCTCACCACCAACAATAGCACCTGTTTTGCTATTGTTGCACCACATTTGGTGCTATTGTTGCACCGCCTGTGCTATTGTTGCCGCAATTGCCTAATTGCTACAACTGCATTTGTTTTGCATGTTGATGAACATTCCGGAAAAGAACGTAATATTACAATTTCTTCCGTTTGTTGCGTCTTGTTAGCAATGTCCTAACGCTGTCGACAAGCGAGGCTCACCCCACCCGCGGACCGAGCAGCATTGCCGTGAAGAAGTAGCCTAAACCAAGATTTATTCGACGTATATCAACTAAAATACATTGAACCGGACTGTAAAATACAATAAGTATTCGCGGAATATGGTCATCTCTATATCATATAAAATACTACATTGAACCGGACTGTAATATCTAAAATACTACATTGAACCGGACTGTAATATACAATAAGTATACCGGACTGTAATATAATATGTACAATAAGTATTCGCGGAACATGGTCATCTCAGTCACTTGTTGCATTAGTATGCAAACTATCATGTTTTAGTTGACGACATTTTCGGACGCACGAAGTTTGTAAGTAAATCTTGAGGCTAAAACACTAACAATGAGCGCGCAGGGCCAAAGGAATTTTTTAACTCAAGTCATGTAACTCAAATCATTTGCACGTGTAAGTTGCATTGAAACAGACCAAATTTATGATTAGTTCTGGAATCTACGACCGATTTACAATTTTTGTCAAACAGAACATTGAGGAAGTAACAGTGCGGGGATCAGAAGGAAAATATATAACGAATGGAAAACCTATAAGAAAATTATGAGTCAAGCTGTAGAAGTAACTGTCAACTGATGTGACAAAGCACGCGTCAAGCATCAGATGCAACTGACAACTGATGTGACAAAGCACGCGTCAAGCTGCAGAAGTAACTGACAACTGATGTGACAAAGCACGCGTCAAGCATCAGATGTAACTGACAACTGATGTGACAAAGCACGCTCCAAGCTGCAGAAATAACTGTCAACTTTATTAAAATGCTCATGATTTAATCAGCACTGATTTGGACTCAGATGACATTGTCTTATGTTCCTGAAGCGAATGATTGATAGTGACAAGATGTTTATTACATAAATTTCTATCGGAAGATCTTAGTGAGGCGCTATCGTCGCTATCAGAGGCAGCTTAATTAATGAACTGACACTCGCTTGTGATGGTCACAATAAACATGTGTGACACATAGCGATGACGCGTCAAGGCCAAGTGAAATTGTTCGTAAAGCTATAATGAAGAAGAAGTTTAAGACGGTTAGAATAAAGCCTTTAAGTGATGAAGAAGAAATTTAAGACGGTTAGAATAAAGCCTTTAAGTGATGAAGAAGAAATTTAAGATGGTTAGAATAAAGCCTTTAAGTGATGAAGAAGAAATTTAAGATGGTTAGAATAAAGCCTTTAAGTGATGAAGAAGAAATTTAAGACGGTTAGAATAAAGCCTTTAAGTGATAAAGAAGAAATTTAAGACGGTTAGAATAAAGCCTTTAATGTTGTTTGATTTTTAATTCTCCAAGATTATGAAGTAGAATCTGACGATGACATTAAATGTAAGCAAACACATTCACGGATCGTTAAAAGTTATATAGCGCGATTTCTCTATTGCGGCAACAGACACAACGTAAGAATTTTTTCGATAATTTTTAAATTCGAAATTATAAAGAAACTTGTCTCACGATCAACTCCGAACTGCCCAATCAATGGATAAATATTAAAATAAAACAATTTTCCAAAAAATGTGTCGTGCGGTGCACTGCATGAACGTGTCGAGCAGTGCACATTCAGTAATAAGATGCGTTTAAAAATTATTTTTTAAAGACAACACTTCTAAAGAATTCAGCGTCTGCTATGTTAAATATGTTGAATGAATTTCTAATTTTATCATCAGATATTAAAAAAGTAAGTTTAAATTTTATTTTTATAACTAAAAATAATTAAATTTTTGAAATTGTTTATTCTGTCAATTGATTCATGCATTGTCTCCAACTTAACGCAAGTGTGCCAAATTTCAGATCGTTTGGGCAGGTAGAAGTGTGTTAAATAGCGATTATAAGATATATAGCAGACAAAATTAGTTTTTCAAATTTTCATATAAATTTTTAAATTTTTAAAATTATTTATTCTGTCAATTGATTCATGCATTGTGTCCGGCTCTATGCAAGTGTGCCAAATTTCAGATCATTTGGGCAGGTAGAAGTGTATTAAATATCGATTATAAGATTTGTATCAGACAGACACGACAAGAAGTGAAGTTAAAGAGAAGTGTTGTAAAAATGCTGATACTCATACTTGCTGATACTCATACTTGCTGATACTCATACTTGCTGATACTCATACTTGCTGATACTCATACTTGCTGATACTCATACTTGCTGATACTCATACTTGCTGATACTCATACTTGCTGATACTCTTACTTGCTGATTCAAACACTGCGAGCGTCGAGGCTCGCGGAGCAAACAAGAATTTTCTGATCTTTCCGCGTTTTCTTTACTCGAATTCGATTTAGGAACTAACTTTGAATTTTTACATGCGCAGAAAAGCTAATTAAACTTCGAAGCTAACGTACTAAAATTTTCATGGAAAATGTCAGTTTTTAAGTTACTAGTGATCCAATTAAATATAGTTCTGTTCGCTTAATAAACTGGTATAAGCGTACAATATAACCTATTGTAATTGTGCTACTGAGACTCAAATTCTTTAGCTCCATCACAACATCTCTTCAATATATTAACTTTCAGCTGCAATGCACAAAGCCCTCACCTCGATCCTTCCGAAGCTCTAACGTCGTTCACCGTCAAGGCAAAAGAGATAATGGCCGACGAAGGCTTGGTTTGCTTTATATAACACAATGCAGGAGGAGATAAGAGAACATCACCTACGTCACGATGTGATGATTAAAACTCTCTTCATTCACTTGAAACTCAAAATTAAATTGACGAAATTTCCGATGACTCAATACACGGACCGAGCCCTGTATATCGTGGATGTATCATTAATTTCTCTTAAAGTAATTTGATTTTCATCATTACATTTCTTATGGAAACAAACTATTGAAACTTATTCTTTTGTGCTATGCATCCAATTTGTTGAAGTTAAGTCAATAGGATAACATTTCTTTCACGCTGTCCTATCTCCGGAAATTGAAATAATAAGTGAATATTTATCTGGGTTTATTGAATGACCGTTGGTTGAAGCCATCTACATCCCCCGGTAGTCCAGTGCGAA